TGGCCGGTCCCCCCTGGACGCTGCAGTGCACCTCGGAGGAGGCCCGCGCCGCGCGTGAAAACGTGCGGTTTTTCTCCGGGGCAAGTGGAGGCGGAGGGGATGGGAGAGGAGAGGGACATCTTTCCTGTTGCTTTTGGCTCTTCTTCTGCCCCCGCAGTTTTACTTTTATTTGACGCCTGAAAATCTCGGGTGGAGAGAATCTGATCGCCAAGGTGTCGGGGGACGGGGCGGGCTGGCCAAAGGGGAAATGGGTCACATTTCCCCCGAATTGTCTTTGAAGCCATTTAGCTCATCCTCTCCTAAGCATACACATGGGCTCCGTTTAATTATTTGGTATAAAACACGTGTCTGTAGAAATTGCTGGTCCTGTTCTAAGGGAGCCCTCCTCCGCTCCGGGGAGCGTGGTTCTCGGCTGCTGTTGGCCCACCGTGAACTTTTTGGGAAATGCCTGCTGCCCTCTCCCCCGCCGCTCTCGCTCTGCGAATGCTGAGCGGAGCGTTGAGCTGCTCTTCGCGTTAAGGTGACCTAAGCCGGGCGGCCTGTGTAAGTGACGGTGTGTGCCTTGTGCTCTGATATGCAGACAGCCCCTTCTGAGGTCTCTGTGCTAACGTGCCAGGGCTTCCGTCTTTGAGGCTGTCTGGCTGCGGGAAAGAGCATCGCCTAGGATTTCATTGCAGTCTGTCCCCAGTTTAGACCGGCCTTTCCAACGTCCACTTTTCTACCAATAACCAGGTGCTTAGGGTGCATTTCTCATCTCCACTTGGTTAAAAAAAAACACACACACAAAAAAAACGGCCCCAGGCTGCCCGCGGAAACAGCCTGGTCTTTGATTCATCCTGTCAATATTTGCGTGCCTCGTCTGTGCCAGTCACTGTGGTTGGGACACACACTGTTGCCACACTGTGGCAGTGACAATGGTCGCCTCTTTTCCGATGCGGAGGAAAGCCCTGCGGGTCACGTGGAAGGTAGGAAGAGGAAGCGAGGCCAGCGAGCTGTTCTGGAGCAAGAGCTGGCCCCGGACAGTGTTTTGAAACCTGTGGTTTGACTTTGGGGTTGGGTTCCTCTGGGCCCCGAGTCTATGACCATCGCTCCACAGGGCTCACCGACTTGTTGCTTTGCCTGTCACCCGGAACAAAAGCCCCATCATTGAGAAAGCTTGTTGAAGTGTTTGGATAGAAGGGTACTGATGTGTGGGTGAAGGTTATTCCCCTGTCATGGGGTTAAACGTTGTGTCATGCTGTAGGCAAATCGTGTGACACTAGGAAAGCAATCTGGCCCCTTAACCTCAGTTTCATCTGCAAAATGAAATGATGAAATACTTACCTCCTAAGGTTGGTGAGAGGCTTAAATGGTCCCTGCGTTTTTACAAGAGGGATCTTGTTAACCTACATGAACCTCTGAATTGGTGGGGGTTTAGACACTGCATCAAAGTGAATACATTGGAGCAAATACAAAGTGTGTGAAGACGGAGTGTCTTTCTGTTCTTCCTCCCCTCCTTTCGCCAGGGGCTTATTTTGAAATTTTTGTTGTTGCTCATCCACACTGAGGATATTTATTCCATTGATCTTTAGAGAGAGTGAAAGGGAGGAAGAGGGAAGAGAGAGAGAAACGTCTATGAGAGAGAGAGATACATTGATTGGTTGCCTCCCACAAGCACCCCGACCCGGGCTAGGAATCCAGCCTGCAACCGAGGTATGTGCCCTTGACCGGAATCGAACCCAGGACCCTTCAATCTGAGGGCCGATGCTCTAACCACCGAGCAAACTGGCTAGGGTGCTAGGGGCTTATTTTATTTTTGCACATGAGTTTACTCCAGGTGTTCTGATGGTGTTGGTGGGATCCTACATGTAGTTTGTGCTAAGGGGTCTACACACATAAGTTCTCTCAGTCCAGCTAATACGAATTGAAATCCTCCTGTGTTGAAATCCTTCGTGCCATGCAAGGTATTGGGGATGAGGAAGGGGCAAAAGCCATGAACAAAACAGATAAATATCTTTTCCCTTCCTGAAGTTCCCATTCTAGTTGGGGTCTTTGTAAGTCAATTTACCTGTAAATTGTTTCTAAACCTATGGGTTTACATGAAATCCAAGACACCTTGCTGCATTTACAGCAGAAACTTAGGAATGTATTTTAAAAACAAGAATGGTGGTGGAAATCTGTTACAATTTTTCATGTTTAAGAAAATGATATGTCTATTTCAATTTTTGAAAATGGCTTAAAATTGGAATAATGTTTGGGTATTCACATTATGATATTTGATTTAGTGAGTTTTCACATTTTTATGTTTTTAGAAAAAATATTGCATTGCATTCTTTATGACCTTCATGCTTTTATAATTTTGAAGAAAATTCTTAACACCTTTATTGAGGACAAAGGGATGTTCAAATTACAAAAATGAAAAGTTTGAGACAGTTCCTGGCAAAAATAAAATAGCTGTGATCAATAGATGTGAAATTAATGAAAAGTCATTTTGAGGATAAATGTTTGGTAGAAATGAACATAAAGACAAAATAACTACAGTTTTCCTAGAGCTTAACATAATAATGACTCATTTTAAATCTCTGACTTGGTTTGTGAAATTAGAAACCTTTGTTATTTTTCAGTGCTACTATCAATTAAACATGTATGAATTACTGAACAAGATTTATTTGTCCTATACTTTTGAAGAGCAGATTGGCAATTTTTCCTTAGATGCTATGGTATTTAAAAAGTACATTTTGGAAAGTGTTAAAATTTATAAAATACATCATAAACAAGTGTACTTTGAAAATATGTTTTTTGTTTTTAAATAGAATGCATTTGTAAATGGAGATTCCTTTGTTTGGTACTAACAAATTGCATATTTTAACTGGTAAAGAGTTCATTTTTAGAAATGGACATTTGAAGGAGCATGTCTTGTTTTTAGTTTCTTGGCAAAGGGTGAGCTTAAAACTAGAAACAATAGAAACTAGCTAGTGTGGTATCTACTGTGGAGCAGACATTGTAAATGTGCTTTATGTATGCACACACTAACTTTTTGTTTGGGCCTAGCGTGGGGTCGCGAGAGGAGAGGGTGCTGTGTTGATGATGTCATTATGTATGCAGATGTGCTGATGGGAAAAATTTGGTATCAGCCACTTTTTGCTTTGCATAGAAATTTTCAGGATTGGAGATTGCAGTTTGATTTCAGGCGGTTCTGAATGATGGTTGTTCTGTAGTTTAGTTGTAATTTTGATGAGGTTGTGGGAGGAGGTGAGTACTGCTTTTACCTACGCTGTCATCTAGGCCGGAAGTCCCTAAAAAAAAAATCTTTTAAAACAGACCTGCTAGAATATAACTATTAAGGAGAGGAGTGTGTGTGTTTTTCAAACCAATCACATATGTGTGTATATATGTGTACACATATACACATGCACATATTGTGCAGGAATGAAAACATAAATGCAAAAACTTTAAGAATTTGCTTTGTGAGATTATCTGTGTGCGGTATAACAGATATTTGTCTTTTCTAGATTTGAATTTTGACAGTTGACAGTTATTTTGAGGCAGCTATTTTCTCCTGTGCTTATCAACTCTCTCTTTAGCTGATGCGCAAGGAGGAGTTCCGTTGTGTTTTGCGCCATTTCTGCATCACTGGGATGAATGCATCGTCCTCAGAGCTGGTTCTTTTAAGGCTAGCAATCTTGACTTATAAAAAGGAAACTTTAGTTTTCAGGACGATCAACATTTGTGTGTTTCATCTTCCTTGAGATATTTTATTCATTAGTCATATTTCCCATAAATTTTAGTAAGTATAGCTTTCTTTAGGGTTGGAGGCAATTTTGAATAAAAGGGAACCCTTCAAATGTCAAATGAACTAAATTAAAATACTTAATATGTACCTACTCTGTGCTTGTGTTAATGCAAGTCCTGTGCTGTGTGCAGAAGACATGGGATGCAATTCCTGCCTGAGAGAACTTCATCCCTTTGCCGAGAACATCAGCTTTGTCTGGATGGCACAGTGAGGACGTGCATTGCAGAAGATGGCGTGGTGTCTCCAGCCTGCAGGGGGATTTTGTTCTGAAGCAGGGTTCTGCAGACTGCAGTCAGAGGCCAGCCACCTGTTGTTTTAAATAGTTTATTGTGGGGAGTGGCGTCAGAGGAATGGCATAGTGAGAGACACCCCCTTGGCCTCTCCCCCTGAAACTTGAACAAGTTGATCAACTAGAGCTCAACAAAGGATTCCCTGCTCTATCTAGAGGCGCTCCTGAGAGACCCACGCATTGAAGCATCTGAAGGTGGGCAAAGGGGAGCAAGCAGGGAGGCGAGGAGGGAGGACAGTTCAGATGGCCACATACACAGCCCTGCAGCCAAGGTGGCGGTAGCAGGCGCTTCCTTCGGCTTGGTGGAGCAGAGAGCCTCAGTGGGCATTCCAGCAGGGCAAGCTGTGAAAACTGTAGCTGTGTCCACCAGGACACCTGGGCGAGGACACAGTGCAAGGATTCTGCCATGCTGTCCGTCTGTCGGTGTTCCCGGGCATTCCAGCAGGGCAAGCTGTGAAAACTGTAGCTGCGTCAGCCAGGACACCTGGGCGAGGTCACAGTGCAGTGTCGGTGTTCCAAAGAATGGAGCCACAGAACCCTGCCACCCGTTGGACTCCGAAAGCTTGCTTCCTTTGCCTTTGGTGTCAGGTCAAGGAGCACATGATCTGCAAAGTGAGAAGTATTACAGCAGAATCACTGTTTCCCTCTGTGAGTGATCCTCAGGTGGAGCATGTGGGGGGAGGGGAACCAGTTGGAGGTCCGGGGTCACCATTATAGTGAGGGCAAACAAACCCCAGCCCCAAACAGCAAGCAGAATGGCTGTGCTGTTCTGTCTGAGGGCAGCTGCTGAAGTCAAAGGAGGGAGTTACAGAGGTAAAAATCGTATGATTCAGTGCCACCTACTGGAAAATAATAGACCTCTTCAGGGAAAGCTGCTAGAGAAAGGCCGATATCACACAGGTGCCGAGACAGAGGAGGCCAGTGAATACCATGGTATTCATAAAAAAATGAAAAATCTCCAAAAGCAAACTGGGACACATGGAAATATATGATATACATGACATAGAGAATTCAAAATTGCAGTTCTGAAAATACCAGGATGTGGGAGAATGCAGACAGGCAACTTAATGCATTCAGAAGACAAATTAACAAAACGAGTACTTTACCAAACAGATTGAAACTTTAAAAAAGAACCAATCAGAAATCCTGGAAATGAAGCATTCAGTTAAGGAGATTAGGGGTGAACTACTGAGCGTAGGAAACAAAGCTGACCAGATAGAGGAAAGAATTAATGATAGTAAAGATAGAAATCTGTAATGATGCAGAGGGATGAAGAGAGAGACCTGAGCATTAACAAAATAATTTAAAGAAAAAAGACCTCTACAAGAACTATCTGACTACATCAGAAAAAGCAATATAAGACTAATAAGCATACTGGAAGAAGAAGGGGAGAAGGGAACGGAGAGCCTCTTCAAACAGTCGATAAGAACTTCCCAAACCATGGAAAGAACTAGATCCTCAAATCCAAGAAGCAAACGGAACACCTAGTTACCTCAATTCAAAGAGGCCCTCTCCAAGGTACATTGTATTAAAAGTCAAAAATTAATGATAAGAAAAAATTCTCAAAGCAGCCAGGGAAAAGAAAGAAGTGACCTGCAAAGGAAAACCCATCAGGTTATCATTGGACTTCTCAGCAGAATCTACAGGCCAGAAGAAACTGGAACCAAATACTCAAAACAACTGAAAGAGAGAAATTACCAGACAAAGACAATATATCCAGCAAAGTTATCCTTTAGATATAAAGAAATAAAGACTTCCCCAGACATACAGCAGCTGAAGGAATTTATCATCAGAAAACCTTCATTGCAAGAAATACTCAGGGGGTTATTCTACCTGAAACAAAGAGCATAAGGTCAAAACACTACATGTAAGATCACCAGAAATACTCAGGGGGTTATTCTACCTGAAACAAAGAGCGTAAGGTCACAACACTACGTGTAAGATCACCAAAACTCTTAAAGCATAAACGGATAATTTGAGGGAGGTAGAACATAAAAGGGGAGGGAGGTAAAGGTCTGAACTGGCAAAGGAACATGGAGATCAGATGCACTCAAAAGGAAAAAAACTGTAGATATGCAACTTTCTTTTTCATAAACGTAATGATAACCACACACAAGAACACCAAAAGTAAGATACACCACTTAAAAAGAGAGGAATCAGAGGAAAGAAGTATGTAATACCACCAAACAAAAACAGCGGACAGAAACACAAAGGAAAAGAACCAATGGAGGCACAGAGCTCTCAGAAAATAAAGGATTAAATGGCTATAGGAAATCCTCATACATCAGTAAATACCCCAGGTTTGATTCCCAGTCAAGGGCACATACCTGGGTTGCAGATTTGATCCCTGGCCATGGTCAGAGCACATGTGGGAGGAAACCAATATCTCTCTCTCTGCCTCCCATCTCTCCCTCCCTCCCTCCCTCTCACCCTCCCTCCCTACAACACCCAACCATATGCTGCCTTCAAGAAACACATCTAAGCTGCAAAGACAAAGGTAGTTTCAACATGAAAGGATGGGAAATTATTCTCCAAGCAAATAATATCCACAGAAAAGCAAGTGTAGCCATACTTATATTTGACAAAATAGATTTCAAGGTAACAAAGACAACGAGACAAAGATGGACATTATATAGTGATAAAAGGGACACTACTTCAAGAAAACAATACTTCTTAATCTATATGCACCCAATCAGGGAGCACCAAAATATATAAAGCAACTACTCACAGAATTAAAGGGAGAAACCAATCAAAGCTGTCATAGTTGGGGTCCTTAATACTCCATTGACAGCTCTATAGATCACCCAAACAAAAAATCAATAAAAAAAAGTATCAGCCAATATCAGCCTTAAATGACACAATTGACCAAATGGACATAATTGACATTTACATCAGATTATACATTCTTCTCCAGTGCACGTGGATCATTCTCAAGGATAGACCATAGGTTGGGTCACAAAACTAGCCTCAACAAATTCAAGAAGATTGAAATTATCCCGTGCATATTCTCTGACACGATACCTTGAAATTAGAAATCAACTGCAAAGAGGAAGTAAAGAAACCAGCAAATACCGGGAGATTAAACAACATACTGCTAAAAAAATGACTGGGTCAAAGAAGAAATAAAAGGTGAGTTCAAAAGATATATATGCAACCCTGGCCAGTGTTGTTTAGTGGTTAGAGAGTAGTCCCACTCACTAAAGGGTCCAAGGTTTGATTCCCAGTCAAGGGCACATACCTGGGTTGCAGATTTGATCCCTGGCCATGGTCAGAGCACATGTGGGAGGAAACCAATATCTCTCTCTCTGCCTCCCATCTCTCCCTCCCTCCCTCCCTCTCACCCTCCCTCCCTTGCACTCTCTCTCTAAATCAGTGGAAAAAATATCCTCAGGTGAAGATTAACCAAAATATAAATTAAAAAAAAATTTTTAAAGATACATAGAGACAAATGAAAATGACAATACAACATATCAAAACTTCTGGGATGCAGTGAAAGCAGTACTAAGAGGGAGCTTTATATCATTACAGGCCTATCTCAAGAAACAGAAATCCCAGGTAAACAGTCTTAACATTACATCTTAAAGTACTAGAAAAAGAAGAACAAAAGCAACCCAAACTCAGCAGAAGAAAGAAAATAATAAAAATTAGATCAGAATGTAATGAAATAGAGGACAAAAAGACTATACAAAAATCAATACAACAAAGAGCTGGTTCCTTTTTAAAAAATTTATTGAAAGTATTACATATGTCCCCCCCCTTTTTTCCCATTCACCCCTTCCATGCTGTACTGCCCTGGTTTCTTTTTAAAAAATGCGGTTTTTTATTGATTTTAGAGGAAGGGTAAGTGTGAGAGAGAAACACCAATCAGCTGCCTCCTGCACACCCTCTACTGGGGATGGAGTCCACAACCTGGGCATGTGCCCTGACCAGGGATGGAACTGGCAACTTCCCTGTGCATGGGACAACATTCAACCAACTGAGCAACACTGGCCAGGGCAAGAGCTGGTCTTTTGAAAAGATTAATAAAATTGGCAAATCCCTGGCTAGACTCAATAAGGAAAAAAAGAGAAAAGACCCATATAAACAAAATCAGACATGAAAGAGAAGTCACCATGGACATCACAGATATACAAAGGATCATACTATGAAATACTTTGAAAGAATATATGCCACCGAATTCAACAACCTAGAAGAAATGAATAAGTTCCTAGAAATATGTAACCTGCCTAGACTGAATCATGAAGAATTGGAAAATCTAAATAGACTGATCAGGAGCGAGGAAATTGAAACAACCATCAAAATCCTCCCCAAAAATAGAAGTCCAGGCCCAGATGACTTCACCAGTGAATTGTACCAAACATTCAAAGATTAAAAACCTGTCCTCAAACTCTTCCAAAAACTTTGAAGAGGAGGCAAAACTTCCTAACATTTTATAAGGCCAACATAACCCTGATACCAAACATGGCAAGGGTAACACACACAAAAGAAAACTATTGACCAATATCTCTGATGAATACAGATGTAAAATTCCTAAACAAAATACTGGCAAATCCAATACAATAATATATCAAGAAAATTATATGTCACAATCAAGTGGGGTTCATTCCAGGGGTATAAAGATGGTTCAACATACACAAATCAATCAATGTAATACACCACATTAACAAAAGAAAGGGTAAAAATCAGGATCTTATCAATAGATGCAAGAAAAGCATTTGATAAGATACAATATCCGTTTATGATTAAAACACTCAATAAAGTAGGAATAGAAGGAAAGTCTATGAAATACTGTGAAAGAATATATGCCACCGAATTCAACAACCTAGAAGAAATGAATAAGTTCCTAGAAATATGTAACCTGCCTAGACTGAATCATGAAGAATTGGAAAATCTAAATAGACTGATCAGGAGTGAGGACATTGAAACAATCATCAAAATCCTCCCCAAAAATAGAAGTCCAGGCCCAGATGACTTCACCAGTGAATTGTACCAAACATTCAAAGATTAAAACCTGTCCTCAAACTCTTCCAAAAACATTGAGGAGGAGGCAAAACTTCCTAACACATTTTATAAGGCCAACATAACCCTGATACCAAAACATGGCAAGGGTAACACACACAAAAGAAAACTATTGACCAATATCTCTGATGAATACAGATGTAAAAGTCCTAAACAAAATACTGGCAAATCCAATACAATAATATATCAAGAAAATTATATGTCACAATCAAGTGGGGTTCATTCCAGGGG